CGCGCGCGTGTGTGTGTGTGTGTGTGTGTGTGTGTGTGTTTTCAGTCACAAAGAGTGTCACCCTGTCACTGGCCCACCTACCTGATGTGAGGATTGTGAAACAATGTCTATAGCATGTCTCTCTTGGACACTGTTTGTATGTGTTTTTTTTTTCTACTCCCAGTCTGAGAGGTAATGTCCTTGAATTGTTGCTCTGGTTTTGTTTTGAAAGAGCTGGTAAAAATGTTGTGATAGAAGTGAAACGTTTCAGTCGTGTGTGATAATTTATTGTATTGTGAAGAGCTCCCTCTACTGAAATCCTGGCGAGATACTTCTTTGAGCAATACAGGGATGCATTGAGATCTAGATTAAAAGCGTACAAAGGTTTTACTTTGTATTCTGCTTTCGATGTGTTCTGAAAAATAATGTGTAATTATGAAGAATTTCTTTCACAAAAAATGTATGTGAAGTAATTCATAAATTACTCAAACATATTTATCATCGTCCACTCATACATACTTTTGCCCATACATGTTGAACCTGTAGTTGCTGAAGGTTGAGTCAGGGTGTGATCACATAGTGTCGCAGAAGCCTTGGGGGTTTGACACTGTAAGCAGCTTGTGTTATCTGACACTACGAAGAATCATTGAGACGCTTCATAATGATCACACACATGTGCTCAGCTACTGAGCTTACGGAGTAAATCAGTAAGACCAGACAGGCTTACAAGTGACATAGATATGTGACTTCTGTGCATGTAATGAGGTTTGAATTAATAAACAGTCAGTTTTACATTTATTATTATTATTATTATTAGTTAAGAAAAATAGCTTAAATTGAATTACTAATTAGTTATTATACACAGTGCAGTTTAAAAGTCTGAGACCAGTGAAATCGTCCCCTTGGAATTATAAGGTTCTATCTGCATTCCGAGTAGTTTTGAGATATTGAGCTTCAAAGTTTTTGCATTCCATTCGACTGTGTTGATAGAACCTTTTTGTTTTTTAAATAAAAAGTCCCAAAATGTACACAACATAAAAAATCTATCACATAATGTAAATAAGTTGTCACAGAATAAGAATATGTGAATAATTCAATTTTGACAAAAATGTCAGATAGAACCTTATAATTCCAAGGGGACGAAATGCGTATATTTAGCATTTTTCTCATTTAATACACAATTTGTATTGCACATTATATCATTAACACAATAAATGTCATTATGTAAAATTAATTATTTGGATTGTCTCCCTTTGTCCTTTAGCACTCGAGCAACATAAACTCCACATGTTTGTTTAAAATTAAAAATGCTGGGTTAAAAACAGCCCAGTGCTTTACAAAAACCCACACAGATATGAGGCTTTGGGCTTCCAGTATTTAAATTCTGTTATTGGGCAGCAAATGCTAGAGCTCTATCCTACTGGCAGAAGGGTGTTCTTAGTGAAATTTCCTCTATAGCTGATCCACTATGGCTTAAGATACAAAAGAGACAATATCCCTAACTATATCTTGTCTTCCAGTTCTACTTTTCTCAAAAGTGTCTCCTTCACCAAAATCGACTGGGAATAATTTTATGATAAAAAATTAAATACGAATATTAAACCAAATAAGAAGATATTGTACTTTGCCTGACGTCTCTGTTCATACTCCAATTGCTTACAATCATTTGTTTAAGCCATTTAGAACTCAATTTGGGGTTTGCTACATGGAGAAACAAAGTCCCTGAAGTTGCAAAGACTAAAGTCTCAAAACCAAAGAGATATTGGGCCAAGGATTTTGGTGTAGACTTGTCTGATGAAACATGGAATGATTGCCTTAGTAAGATCCAATATTGTTCAATAAATGCCAGACACAGGCTGATCCAGTTTTTGGAGTAGCATTTTAGCCATTTTGGGGACTTCTGAGGTACTGAACACTTTTTCAAGCTATCAACAGCAATTACTGTTGTTGGGTATGGTTCTTGCTAAAAATATAATACTCTTAAACTGGAAATCTTCACATGCCCCTTTTTTCAAAACCGGGTTGTCTTGAGTTGTTCCATGTTATACGATTGGAAGGTATACGTTTATTGGAGCCCAAACTACATTGTCGATTCCAAGCTGTATGGCAACCCTTCTTTGATTTCCTGAAGCCTGTGTAATCTACTTTTATGTAAAACTCTTCCTGCTGTATTTCAACCATCCATGTTAGCCCATTCCACCTCTTGTTTTTTTTTTTTTTCCTTTTTTTTTGTATTGTATTATATTGTTTAAATATTTTGTTCTGTATGTCATTACAAAAAGCTTAAAAGAAAATATTTAAAAGAAAACACAACCCAGTGCTGTGTGAAATATAGACAAACCCAGCGATTGGGTTGTTTTGACCCAGTGGTTGGGTTAAATGTTTAACCCCACCTTCTGGGTAGTTTTATTTAACTCAACTATTGCTTACAAATTTTTGTATTTCTTGTGTAACATGAACCCAAAATAGGTTGGAAATTAGCAATTATTCATTAATAATAAATGAATATTATACGTTGGATAAATAATTAAATAATAAAAAAACTTTTATTGCTTATTAATAAATGTTCACCTTTTGATTATTGCTGATGCCTCTAGTAATTATGTGTCTGATTTTTACTTTAAAACCTATTTTGGGTTCATTTTAAGCCAGCTATATAGTGATTTTGAGTTAAATAAAACTACCCAGAAGGCTGGGTCAAAACAACCCAGTTGCTGAGTTGTATTTAACTCAGCATTTTTTTTTTTATCATATTCTCCAGCTGTAAGGAATGATTTGAAAACATCTGTTATTTGAGTTGTGACCAAGAAATACTTGAGAGTCTTATATTTCTTATCGTAATTCTTATCTTCTTATTCATAACATTTTAAAAATGTATTTACATTTTTTCAACATTTTTAATCTTTCTGTTGTTGTTGTTGTTTTTTCCAGATATTAATTAGATTTTAAATCGCAGCTTATCATTGTAGTCACAGACTTTTGGACATGACTGTATGTAATTTAACGAAATAGATTATGCAATATAATCAGTGATTTCAAATTCTGAATTATTCCAGTCACACTACGATTTAGATTCATGGGAGTCTTGTGAGACTATGTGCATCAGTGCTCTGCATTCCTGCAGTAATAATGCTGGGAATAGAACTAATATGAGCATAATGGACCACTCAGAGGTGAAGCAGAGCTCTAATGTATTTTCCATCTGTTAATATTTAATGCAATGTTGTAGACGTCATTACACTTTTGACTTAATTACCCCTTTACTGGTCACCCTAGCTTAGTGATGACCTCTGCAACTGACAGTGTCACAATTACATCACCTCTTAATGAATCGCTAATTTACTGTTATGGCTGCTGGCACTTCAACTGAAGTGGGCAGAGTGTTGCACAGATAATATAGTGATCAGTGTATTTAAGATGAGAAAAAACGAGAGATGCTGTTTTATATGTTTCTTTACATTTGAAAAAAAAATCTAATCCGTTTTTATTATTTTCAAGTATTTAATCCAATTTAATTTGATATAACAGAAGTCCCGATTTATCACTCTATTTATCACTCCCGAATGTTTTGTTGTCTGACTTATGCAATGTCTGTATTTAAATCTGCATACATTAAGAGAAGTGTTACACATTCTGTGCCTTGTTCTTCAGGGTTTGCATTCTATCTCTCAACAACTTGCCAGACAGTTGATCATATGGCATAGCTTGTGCATCGATATCCACACAATCACATTAAACCCACACATATGGACAACCACTAAGCAAGGGCAGATTCATTTAAATTAACTTTGATTCAAATGTCAGCTTTGTTGCCATGCGTCATGAAAGTATGAAGCATACAGACTTTGTCAGATATCATCTATGCAGGTGACTTGACAGGCTTTACTGCATTTCAGAGCTTCATTCCCGATTAGAGATTTTCTCCGCTCGTCGTATTTCGAACAGAACGTGTTTTATTTGCGCCGTACGCCTTGGAAATGTCACATATGGGTAAAAGCCTGTTGTGTCTTATTCACACTTTAAACCCACTGTACCTTTTTCTGAGACATTGATTGCATTGGTCCTTTAATATTGGTGACAGCTAATACACTCCTAAATGATCGGTTATTATCTCCGGGGCCTTGTTCCATGTGCCCCGCTGCTTCCAAAGGTCATCCCTCTGTCTTCCTGTATCGACCTGCTCGCCTGTTAACGTAGACTAAGACTTATTGAAAGTGAAGGTTGAGGAGCATATTTCCATCAGGTTGCAGTCTTCTCCTTCACGAGACGGCTTTTAAAAGGCTCTTTTGAGCATGTCCATTCAGAGAGAAGGGCCAGGATGAGAAAACATAATGGATATGCCAATAAAGGGAAAAGCGCCCTTAAAATGCATGTGGTTTTTCCACTGGTGTGAGTGTATCAGCATCCAGCCTTAATATGATATATTTAAGGATAGAAGGGGAGCGCTGTATATGCTTCACAATTAAAGCAAAATCCTCAAAATACTAACAAAGCTCCCTCTGTTCGTTTCACAGCTGTACGAACTGGACAATGATGAGAAAAGAAAGGAGTTTCTCGATGATCTCTTCAGTTTCATGCAAAAAAGAGGTGAGTCTTGTTATGTGCAGTTATTCAGATCGCAAATGTCAGAAGAAACACACTCCCATTCACACCCAGATTGCAAAACTATATGTTGATTTTAGATGATAATGTTCAGATATGAGTAATTATAGGGCTTGCTGGCGATATATTGGACATATTCCAGGTGAAATTGTATTTACTCTTCTTGATAGAAAACTAAATAAGAAAAGAAGCTTTTTAAAAAATTTTAACGAGTAAATACAAGGGTTTCTGTATTTTTAAAGAATATAACGAGGGACTTCTTTTATAGGAACAATTAAAATAAGTAGGTTTGATTGCCACCTGTGTATGAAAACAAAGCATCACAAATGTCTAACCACCCATCTGCAGTCATGCCAACAATAGAAATGCAGGGTTTATTGTTTTGGTAAAGGCTGAGAATGTGTAGATACTATTGTGATAGGCTTTTTCAGGTTTCCTGTTTGAACCGTCCATTTCTCTGAAGTGTTGCTGCCACTGTGGTGTGTTTCTGCCCCTGATGCTATCTGAAACAACGGCTTCTGCTGTTTGTTTTATAATTACTCTCAGATTATGTGAAAACATCCTCGAGGGGATGACCTTGCCACGGTAGGGAAGCCAGCATCCTGGTATTATGTTAGCCGGCCGTGGCATAATGAATTTTAATGCTTTATTGAGGAGGGACGTACATCATCTGAGAAGTTTTTCCCACCGAGGTGTTTCAGCAGACATCAGCCTCCGATATTTTATAGAGGAAATAGAGGAACTTTAATGGCCTTGCATAATATGAGGAAGTTTGCAGCCTTTGATGACTTTCCAAGACAGGACAGAGCTATTTTAAGTGCACAGGACTGTTTTTGTTGTTTTGTGTGGCTCTGTTTTGGTAATATGGTTTATTTTCACTATAATTTTGGATTATATCCAAGTGGATTTTTTTTCCTAAACAATTAAAAATGTACACATTTGTGTGGCTCTGTTTTGGTAATGTGGTTTATTTTCACTATAATTTTGGTTTACATCCAAGTTTATATTTTTCCTAAACAATTAAAAGACTTACACATTTGTAGTATCTGTGAGCTAAAAGTTTTCTTTATTTTCATAGCTACAGATAAAAAAAAATTATCTAAAATAAAATAAACCAAAATATAAAAGTTATTTTAGATTGCAATAATATTTCACAATAAAACAGTTTTTACTGTATTTTTGAGTAATTTGTTTATGTTCATCAGAAAAGTTTTTTTTTTCCCCCATTGTTTTATTTACTTGTATTTTGGGGTTTATTGTACATGAAAACCACAGCTGTAGTAACCTATTTCATTTGAAATATACTTTGAGCATTATTGAATGAAAAGTTTTATTATGAACTTATGTGCATTTTGTCTGCAGGGCAAACAGAAAGCGCATCAGATTTTTTCTGAGAAAGAAGAATTGGGAAAGAAACACTCTCTTAGTCCATGAATGATGACAGTTGAGGCTGTGGCTTCCTTACACATTACACTAAAAGTACTTGGCAGTATCTCGACAAAATCTATGTAAATGTATTGTGTGTTGCTGACCTTACAGCCTGTCAGCAGTATAATATATATTATTACTAAATAGCTCACAACATTTTGACTGCTGACTATTCAGAGCTCATTTCATGCTTTTGTCAGTACATACTATATATCAGTGCTATGATGTAGTTAGATCCAGGTTTTGAAGGAGAGATTCAGCTGCGTTTAAAAATGTACAATATTAGATTACTTTAATTTCATAAAATAAATATGTATATTATTATATTAATGTTATTATTATAATATTGAATTTAAAATTTTAGAACGAATTATATAATTTTATAAATGATGTTTCAGTTACAAAAAAGTGCCACATTAAAATTAATATCGTAAATATATATATATATATATATATATATATTTAAATTACAATAAATTAAATAAATAAACAAAACAAATAAACAAAAATGCCTAAATTAAGCATAAAATAATGAGCCAAGAATATTATTATTACAAGATAAAAGTTGTAGTATTTTGAGTTAAAAACTTTCTAGTAATATTAAGAAAATAAAGTCGTAGCATTATTAATTATAATCTGCTCATAATGTAACTTAATTTAATTAAAACAATTGTGCTTCATTTTCACAGTATATTAAGTATCTTTTCTGAAGCTTTCCATACCAGTGACACATTTTTTGTAATACATTTGTTTATACATCATGTGTGGCCATTTTTGACTAGTCAAACCATCTTAGCAACAGATTTTGGTGTTTTTAGCAGAACCCCTCTTGGTGCTTTGGTTTAGTGTTTGAGGCAGTTACAGGTCACAGGATATCTGATTTATTTTCCCTGAGAGGCAACAGATGACAGAGAGGGCTGAGTTGTCATTTAGCTCTTTCTCATCTGTTTGAATTTGTGATGACAGGAATGAAGGGCAGGTTTTATCGCGGTTCATGCTGTTGTTATTGCGCTATGGGCTAATCCATTCGAGACAGCCAGCGAGGAGTCACCCAGTCTGGTGATGCCATGACATAAAAATGCCTGAATGCAGCGAAGGGAAGCTCTTCCCGTCAACTCAAGCATAAGATCAAATATAATCCAATCCCTGCTGCCTCTGTTCTTATGCTTGATGTCTAAATCTGTATTGACTTCATCGCTCAGGAAACCAGAACACCCAGTGCACTTATCAAGAGTTCACTTGCATTTACACAGATTGGATAAAATGCGCAAATGTTAGCTTTCAGTAGTAATCATTAAACGAAAACCCAGAGGTTTTAGGATGAAGTCTTTTTCATTACATCTGTTATGTTTTACTGTTATGTTGTCAATCATGTCTCCATGGTGTTAAATGACCAAGAGGCTTTTATAGCTGTTATCATACCATGTAACTGACAGCATGAATAGAATGGGAACTCCCATTTAACTTCCACCATATTAAGTTTTGTCACTCAATATGGTGGTTCATCAGTGACAGTTGGAACTGTTCATCACCAGAGACGAGACTATTGTGACAGAGGATTCACAGTACTGTCTAGCGATACATGCTCAGTTAGGACACTTAAAGGGATATTTAACCCACAAATGAAAATTACCTAATTATTTACTCACCCTCAAGCCATCCTAGGTGTATATTACTTTCTTCTTTCAGACGAATCAATCAGAGTTATATTCAAAAATGCCCTGGCTCTTCCAAGCTTTATAATGGCGGTGAAGCAGGGTCAAGATTTTGAAGCCCAAAAAAGTGCATCCATCCATCATAAAAGTACTCTACACAGCTCTGGAGGGTTATGCTGAGTTCACACTGCACGATTTTAGCCCGATTTTTCACTCGCCGACAGGTTTTGCGAAATCGCCGACAAATGCCCGAAATCGGAGGCAAATCGGTGCTCGTTCACGCGAGTGACAATCACGCAGTGTGAATTATCAAAGACGCGATCTGTGGGAATCGCCGATGCGTCGCAGAAATGAAATATTTATTTTCACGCCGTGAAATATTTGGCATGCTAAATATCTGGAGCTGTCGGCGATTCACAATCACGCTGTGTGAAATGATTTCTGACTGAAAAACACATCGGCGATGACCTACAGCCAATGAGAGACCAAGATACAGGGCAGTGGGAAGTAGGCCCTGGAATGTGAATTGTACTAGGAGAACCCCGCCAAAAATATTAGTATTTTACCCCCCAACGCGATTTTTACTGGGGGACCCCCTCGAAAGCAATTGGGCTATTTTCAGGCTAACAGTGTGAACTCGGCATTAATAAAGGACTTCTGAAGTGAATCGATGTATCATACGATGTACCATATTTAAAACTTTATAAACCATAATCTCTAGCTTACGATAACTGTCATATGCCCTTTAACTGCAAATTAAAACAAATTGTTTTGCAACCAAATTTGTTAAAGGGATTTGGTGGCGAAACAATTTGTTATAATTTGTTAAAGTGCATATTTTTTATCTAGGAATTGCGCAGTACATTTCACAAATAGTAACCAAGAAGAAGCAAGTAACACATTGAATTAAACAAAATTTTGAAGTAGACAGACTGAAATCGTTTTTTTCTTGTAACACATACTCCAGTAAACTTTATTTACAGCTTTGAAAAATCCTTTTTTACAGATGCTAATAGATGGGGGGGGGTTCTGGGGTCACTGGGTATCTGGGGTTTGTAAATCTAGGTCTGAAGTATAGAGAAAAATTGCACTTCTGAAAGTGCACCTACTGTTTAAACAGAGATTTTGCTTGTATTTGTTGTGTATTTTTTTAGCTGTCAAAAAGTCAAAGTTACAGTAGTACTAAGTAGGGTTGGGAATCGAAAATCGATTCCGATTCCAGAATCGGATACTTAAGGTCAGGAATCGGATACTTGTTGTCAAATAAAAATTTCGATTCTAAACATGTTGCAAGAGAGGTGTCACCACCAACAAAGCACTTTAATTTAATAGATCATTAAAAATCGCGAACACAATTCAAACACCAACGTGATTCTATTCCTAAATTACAATGATTCGTCTGTTTCATTACTCAACCTTTGACGTGTGCGATCAATGTTGTGATCACTTGGTTCGTCTGTGCAGAGTACGGTCACACCAGTGTGATTTGAACATTTAAATTTGCGTTCGCGCTGCCATTGTCCTAAAGAGAGCAGCTGCTGTCATGAATGAAACTGCTTCACAGTCTTTTCAGCCACACAGTATCATTATTTCTGTGTTACAAACATTCAAATCACAGAAGTACTGGGATAAAAGTTTATAGTTCAGATATAAACTGTGTGTACGATGTGTATGGTAGCGATTAAAATAGAGCAAATCACCTTTTGAAAGTAATTTTAAACTCCAAATGAAGATTTATCAGTTACATTGTTACGCCAGTAGGTGGCGAAAAGGGGCTGTTAAAGGGGTCATATGATGCCGCTGCCCAAATGTTCACGCAAAGAAAGAAGGCGTAACTTTTATTCTCGCTGTAGTATTTGTAATTTCTCCGATCACAAATGCAGCCATGGTTTTATGCAACGC